TGCATTTGGAATGTCGAGCAGCACAGAATAATTTCATGTGCTCTGATGTGACACTTCAGATGATTTTTCTGGCTGACTGGGCAGGACCTGTCTAGGCTAAAAGCATTTGGTGAGAGGAAGCAGCAACAGCTGTTTTGCCTGTAGAGTCAGTTCTGCATGTTGGTGCAACTGAGGAGACAACTGCAATTGAAGGCAATTTAAATGGACAGCTAATGTTTGCCACAAGGTAGTTTTTGATCCCAGAGGTATGGATAAAGTGTCTGGTGATACCTGTAAAGAATGGAAGAAAAGAAACTTAAGTCAATGATAATGAGCATCTGCTAAATACTCCACTTTTGTGGACAGGTCTTCTCTGTGTGGTTCTTGGCTGTACACTTTATTGGACTTCACATGATCCCTGTGTGTCCAGTGCTCCAGACTGCCCAGGTCCCTCTGAATGGCAGCACCAGCATCTGGTGTGTCCAGCAGCTCTCCCAGGGTTTTGCGTTGACACTGACATGCCTCTGCGGGTTGAACTGGAATGGCTAACCAGAACAGCAGAGGCACACTGGAGAGGCATGTGGGGTACTACTAACAATATATCCAGGATGATTTTGATGGGTGTAGGAAGTGAAGCATGGCCATGCTGTGCTAGCCTAGTTGATGCTGATATTTCTTCCTTCTGTCATGGTTTGACTGGATTAGGAATGCTGCAGACCACATAGAGAGCTTGCTGTGCACCATGAGTAGTGAGGATCTCACTAGTGCTCAGTGATAATTTTTCTGTCACTTGGGCTTTCAATATTGGTTTAAGTACTTATTAGAATGTGATAGAGTGCAATATATATTGTGCACAGAACTTCAATGAAGTTATTTTAAAGATGGGCTGAATGAGCATTATGCTTTGTTTGGCCTTAAATGATGCTGTGTGCTTTCAGAATCAGACCTGGGAGTGGTGATCTAATTTGGCTCTAGATCAGGTGGCTGTAGGGTCAACATGAGTTAATATGTTTCAGCTTCCAAACCTTTAGCAGAAATAAAGCTTATGCTTATAGAATATTTGATCCAGAGCAAACAAAAATTCCTGAGTGATGCAGAACACGTCATGGCATTTTGGTAAATTTGTTACAAGGTTAGTTCCTGATGATTATTTTTCTATTTCTGCAGGATTTAGAATTTGTGTTTCCAATTTCTAGATACTATTTTCACATTGTAGGTGGGTAGCTGAGCAAAAGGGGTTTCTGTGGTGTACCCAAGACATTGGATAAAGCAGTGAAGGCTAGAATTGATCTGCCTGTATGTGATCCTTTCTTCTCTCTCACCTGGTTGCTGGAAGCTCTGCCTGAGTGTGGAGTGCAGGATTGTTGTTTGTGCTGATGCTAATGCCTTTTCCTTGCAGTCAGATGCAGGCTTTGGGCAAGAATATTGAGGGGACAAATCTTGTCTCTAAACCAGGAAATGCTAGAGTTTTCCATGTCTTGTTTTCTGGTGCTGTGCAGGAGCATGACACACCATCATGTACTCCAGCAGGGAGCACAGAGGGAGAGAGCAGGGTCATTGGAAATGGGAAATAAAGGAAGGGAGTAAAGGCACGACCAGTTAATTGTAGAAGAATTGCTTCATTTGTGTGAGCTGTTGTTTGAATGTATTTTGCACTTGGAAAGGATAAGGTGACTTGGTCAACAAGGAAAGGATTTTGTATTAGAAGTCAGCATAATGCCTGCAATCTTTTGTTTTGGGTGTCTTCTCGGCAATGGAAATAATAATGTAGTAACTGGTAGATGATGTAGTTGATTTTCTTTAAGTTTTGGGTTCAACTTTATAAGATGTGGGTACCTAGTCTACAATAGAGTTCATTTAACTTGATTTGGTGTTGTTGCTATCAGAGAATTGCTTCAAAGGACTCTGTCAGGATGTTGTCAGCCTTTTAATTTGTTTGGGTTTTGGCTAAAATGGGTGGATTACTTCAGCAGTGGAGAGGCAAACAATCTAAAAACTGCAAAAAGTGTGGGTAGCTTTGTGTGTTTTAGTAAAAACCACAGGAAATCTTGATGGAATGCGTGTATTGGATTAATTGTTGTAAAATCCTAGAGTCTTTTTAAAACGGAGCTCATTATGAGATTGTTATTGAAGAAACACTATAATAAACCAAACAATCTACTAGAAAATAGGTTTTTTATAAAGAGAGTTTTATATAATGGTTGTCATGTCTGCCCTGATTATTGTGCATGCTTGGAAAACAAGTAAAAAAGGGAAACATTTACTTGTTTCCCATTGTATGTTTGAACTAAATGGTGTCTTCTACTGCCTGCTTTATATTCCTCTATAGGTAATTTTAACTGGATCAGCATAAATTTATGTCATCTTAAAATATAGAGGTGCAGGTTTAAAAAGCTACAAAGGCATAAAGGTCATTATAAGTGGGATTGAATGAAAACATCAGACTTTTTTTCTACACTAAAATAAGCAGTTAACTGCATGTTAAAGGACTGTATTATGTTCATTATAGTTTAAATAACTCCAAATGCTGAAATATGAAGTATTCCTCCTCCTGCTCTGTTCTCTAGGACAGGTGACAAAATAGTTGTGTGTCTCAAGTTTTCAGGATGTTTTTTATCAATTACTTTATTCTCAGGTAGAAAGAGAGAAAGAGTTTGATTTTTCTGGTTATGAGAACTTCATCTTTCAGAAACAGGTATTTATTTTATTAAAACCAGAAAAACACAAGGGTTCATACTTGTGTAGTCTACAAGCATCAATTAATTTTCCACAATTGTCAAACAGTTTTTGTATTTTGTCACACAGTGTCTGTATTAATACAAGAGTGTAGAGGGACAACTTTGTTGTCTTCTGATGGTCCAGTCTGAATTTTACCACAGAGGGGTGGCTTCTTCCAGCCCTGTTTTGCAGTTTCCTGTTTGGCATAAGGACAATTAGAAAGCAGCACAGGCCCTTGCAGTTCCCTGCTCTCAGGTTTTCTGCCCCTAGCACTGTGAGTCCAGCTGCCTTGGTCCTCTCTTCTGCTTCTGGCATTTTACACCCTTCACTCCATGCTTCTAAGTCAGGACTTTGCTTTTCAAATAAGCTGTTTCTGAGCAAGTATCCTTTTCCTTGTGTGTGAGAGCACTTCCCTCGAGCAGCTGAATGCTGCTGATTACATCTGAGCATGCACAGCCAGCAGTTGGGAAGGGTGATTAGGTTGAAAAGGAAAATTTAAAAAAGAAATCCCACATAGTAGTTGTGCAGGATGCCTTAAATGTCTGTGGAAGATACCTCACCTGGAGCACACATAAATTTCCTTGAACTTCTTTAGAAAGCTTTCCTGAAAAGTAAGATTGGCATGAATCCTGCTAGAATTAGATAATCTGAAGGTCTAAGATGGATAGGTTTCCTTTGACATCCAGCTAGCATAAGCATGTGTGTATGTGTGTGAGACTGCTTGTGTGAGTACAAAAAAAAAACTTTTTTCTTCAGTCTTGTTCCGGTTGTAGTGAACTTCTCCGTTTCAGAGATCTGAACATTGCCTTTATTTTTTCATATAGGAAGTCAACTCAGAACTTGATTTCATCTGATGCTGTGTTTCTTTATGATAAATTCTTACCAGTGTCTGAAGTGGTTGCTTTATGTTGTGGACTGGCTATGTCATTGCCCTGTTAGAAGCAATCACATCCTTTGAAACACAGTAATGAGCAGTGTCTGTAATGAAGAAATGCTTATGGAAATAGCACAAATAGCATATATGACATTTTTGTTTAAGGAGAGCTCAGATTAACTTCTGTCTCTTAGTGAAACTGTAGAACTTTTACACCAGCCTGGTGTGTTGGCCCCTTTAAACCATTAATGCTGGAGTGGTGGTTTTCGCTCCAAACCAACTTTTTGTTTGTGAACATGTGTTTTGCAACAAAATGGCTTGCTAATTATATGGTATAAAAAATGTAAACTTCATGATAAGGCACTGTAAGTAAAACTGTTGGTAACACAAATTAGTAAGTACTGGAGGAATTAGTTGTATGCAACTGTGAGTCTAATTGGAATTGTAATATGAAGAGGCAAAAAAGCCTGTTAATTCTGTACAGTTGGTAAATAAACACTGATGTGTATAGTAGGATGGAAGTTATACTTTATATGCTGTAGTGGTTTGTTTGGTGCAGTTTATGTAACCTCTTCCTGGCTGGATTTTCCTCCTGCCTTGTGCAAAGCTGCTAGTGCACAGGCAAAAAATACCCATCGAGAGGAAATTAATATTTAAATAAAAGAATTTGAACATATCCTGTGTTTTAAAAACACACAGTTGAGTCCTTGGTATTCCTTGCCATTGCTGAACTGCAGTGCTCCATGCAGCTCTTCATACTAGCCCAGGACCTGTAAAAGGGGAGACTGAAACAAATCTACTTAGTTTATCCAGAACTTGCTTTTTCTAGAGGACTAGGATGGCAGTTCTGTGTTTTATTGCAGTGAGGATTATTGAATCTGTCACATTGTGCCATTATTTAATGGTAAAGTCACATCTGCTGCCATTAGTCAACTCCTTGGTTAGTCTTTTTGGTAGAGAAATGTTACTAGTGGGTGTACTGACACCACAGATGCAGTCTACTTTATTATTTAAATTTACAACTTCACTTTCATCAAGTTAAAATACCTCCTGCTGCACTTAGACCCTTGCACAGCTTCTGAGTATTTTGTGCAATTCAGTCACACAAAGCTGTGAGCCAGAGAGTCTGGTTGAATAAGTGTAGTGCCATTTAAACACACATATGTGGTAAAGAAGCATAGAAGGTAATGCAGAACATTTATTTTTAAATTTTTATTTAATTTTTATTTATTTTATTTTTAGTTACCTAAACAGAAATATAAAACTGAATGTGAGAATATGATTAAGCTATTTTGGGGTCTTCCATTTTAAAGTTATTGTAGTTTAATAGTGATGCTACTTCAAAATTGACCTTTTTTGTTGACAGCATGTTTATTCAATGTATTACTATTTTGGAGTCACATCTAAAATTTTTTTCTCTCTCTTACAGACTGGACTTTGACATTCTTTTCATGAAAGAGGTTTCCAAGTAGTTGTCTTATAATTACTTTGAGAAGAAGTTCTATGTAGCTCTTACTTCCAAGAGTGCTGCAAAAATGATTACTTCAGATTTGCCAGTACTACAGTGAGTATGCATTTCTCTCTACATTTGAAATCTTGGCTTTTAAAAAGGTTGAAGTAAACAGAGAGGTGATTGTGAGGATAAAACTCAAGTTTGGAATAAGTGCATGTTAGTGTGACTGTTCCAGGCCTCCTGTGTTTTCATGTGCTGAAAAACTGTGTAAAAAACTGCAAAACACTTAATCTAAAAAATATTTCTTTCTATGTATGGAGACTTAACTTTGCTGTGCAAAGCAAAACAAGGTCTTTGCTACTTTTATGCTTCTGAATGTTGTGAGCTTTCAGCAGCATGTATTGGTTTTGGTCATAACAGTCCATGTTGTATATTCCAGTTGTGTACTTTCTCACACCATATTGTACATTCCAGTTGGGTATTTTCTTACAATGAGCTGAATTTATTGTGCAAAAAGCCTTTGCCTGCTGCAGTTGAAGATAGCAAGTGTCATGAACATGTTTTGGTCCTGCTGGGAAATAAGAATGGTTAATGCACATGGGACCATGGCTGTGCTTGGATAAAGTGAGCTACTGGAAGAACAGAGGGCAAAGTCTATAATAGGAGGAGCTGAAGAGGAAATCCAATAGAGTTAAGAAGGAATTTTAGAGACTGGAACTTGCTCCTCTCTTCACGGGGCAGGAGAGCACACAAAGTGAGCAAGCTCATGGGGTGAGGTAATGACAGGGAAATCAAAACAGACCAAATGGGCTTGGCTTGGAGAAAATTAATTTATTGCTAATTAAAAAGAGTTTGGATGATGGTGAGAAACAAAGGCAAAACCTACCAAGTGTTCCTTTTACCCCTGCCCAAGCTCACCTTCAATCTTTCATCCCACCCCATCCCCATCCCCTCACAGGGCTGCTGCCCCCTGTCCCATCCCCTCACAGGGCTGCTGCCCCCTGTCCCATCCCCTCACAGGGCTGCTGCCCCCTGTCCCATCCCCTCACAGGGCTGCCGCTCCCCACCGCCATCCCCTCACAGGGCTGCCCCTGCCATCCCCTCACAGAGCTCTCCCTGTCACCACCCTGCTGCCAGTGGCAAGCACCTGCACCAGGTACATTTAGTAACTATCTAATGTTAATTTTTTTTTGCTTGAAATGCTTTCTAATTTTTTTTTTTACCTCAGGGTGTGAAGGAACTTTAGTTTATCAGGGTTGAGTGGCATTCCAAGCTAAGACTTCAAGTCCTGTTATTTAAGAAACTGGATGGTTGGACAATTGAAAAGAAATTTGTATGACCTTAATAATAGTGTGCTTTGCATTACAGTTTTCGCTTGTATTTTTAGAACCTCTTTAAAAAAATTTAGTTGTGGATGAATACAGGCTAAAGCTGGGGATGACCTTGATGGGCAGCACTGAGGGGGAGTGTCAGCCTGAGGGGGTTCCTGTTAACTTAAGGATTAGTTGTGGAAGAACATTTTCTTGGTTCATATTTCCTGGATTTGCCACATTCAACAAGTGAGGGAAGGTTTGTGAAATATTCCAGGAACAAAAAGCTAGGAAAATCTGTGGTGGTGGAAATTGCATTCCCACTTAAAGAATCCAGGTGGACTTAAAAAGTGAATGGAATATCACAGAGTTTAAGGTTAAAAAGTGTATTGTAATGGGTTTGGTAACTTGACACACCTGCTGAAAAACCTGAGGGATGTTAAATATTCTATAAATATTCTTTAGTCAGAGCCACTGATTTTAAGCAAATCAAAGAGCGTAAGAAAACATTCATGTTGTTTTTTTCTGGTAAAGTTGGGAATAATTTAATGCTACTCTATGAAGTGTTGGTGAAATGTCATCCTCAACAATACATGTAGTTTTAATTGCTTATGAGTGAGAGGAGATCTTTCATTTTCAAAGAACTCAGCGTGATTTGCATATAGAGGTTTTGGGACTCTTGAGGGCTCAGAACATTGGCTAGTATGCATGAAGTATCAAATAAAGTGATAAATTCTAATTCAGAAGGTCTCAGTCAGGCTTCCATCAGGAAGAGTGCTGTCTCAGGGTGGGGAAGCCTGAAACAATTTTTGGGCTAGGGGGTATTAGCTTCACACATTTACAGATTTGGGAAGACACAGTCCAGTTGCACACAGAACAGCAAGGTTTCCTTTCTAGCTCTTAAATTAATTATTTGAAGGATTATTATTATCTCCCATTCCTGTGCTTGTTTTCTACTTCTTTTTTGTAATGTTTTGTAATCTTTTTGGCTACCCTCTTTAAACAAACAATCCAAAAGCCAATTTGATATGTTAATATATGTTGCTTAGGACCATATCATATATTCCCTCCCAAATTCTTCTTTGTTGAGGGAATATAAAAGGAGAATCTTTAACCTTTCTAGATTCATAGAAGTAGCATAGAACACAGTGAAGACAAGGATTTCACTTATTGGTGTTTCAGATGTTTGGAGAAAGCATCTGGTGTATTCGATCTGTGTGATGGACAGGTATGAATCTTGTCTCAATGGCATGACTCATGCTTGCTCCTTAGATTTTTGAAGATCAGCCATGAGAACTGATTCATCCATGATTCATGAGCCTGTGCATTTAGCCACTTTTCTTCATGAATGCTTTTTTTCACAAGGCTGAATCTGGTGATAGCAATTACTGGATTTATCTCTGCCAGAATGTTGAGCCCCTCAGCAACAGCTATAAAAGCTTATAGAAGTGTTTTGGTTCCTTTTTTTTACAAAACCTGATACATAAACACTGGTTTTTGCTGTGGTATGCTTTTAAAGGGGCATGGTATATAAATGCTATAGCTAGGCCTTTGTGAAATAGCAGAAGAAAGGTAAATTCATTTTAGTTTGTGTTACAGAGATGTGGAATTTACTGTGTTAATGGAAACATGTTTCTCAGAAGCATGATGTGGTAAAGGGCTGTCCAGTAATCTGGTAATTCTTCATTAACATGGATAGCTTCAAGGGTTAGTAATTATAACTCTGGAATAATATTTGGAGTTTTTAGAAGGGATTCTGGAGTTGCTGCCACTTTTCTAGGGTGCTTTAGTTGCCAGAGAAACCAGAAAGCACAGCAGAGTATACCTGAGCCCTGAAAAGGGGGTGTCACTTGTCTCCTTTGCTCTGCTCTTGTAGGTCCCCCCACCTCTGTCAAATTCTCTCAGGTCTCTGTCATTTCAAAGGAGTCTTAGGAGAGGAAAGGTTTTGCTGTAGGCACTCCCACCTCTCCTTAGATGAGGCAGCTTTCCTTAGGCCCAGATTATCTTCCCTCACAGCAGCTTCAGGAAGGATCAATTATGACTAAGCCCAAGTTTCCCCCTCAGGTGTCACACACACGTGGAATGAGGATAGGATAATTCTGCTCTATTAAGATGTGGATAATTGCCACCAGATAAATTACTTCTTAGCAGTTCTGTGACATGTGTAGGGAATGAGGGAGATGGATGCTGGCCAGCGGCTTCTCTCAGAGTGTTACAAACTGACAGGACTGCAGGCAGTTGGGAGAGGCTGTACTGCTGCTCTGAGTGCAGAAATAAGAGGGAAAGGGGCACGTGTGTGTACCCAGAGCCACTGCAAGGCTGGGACAGAGGCAAGGGACAGAGGCAAGAGGCACTGCCTCCCAAACTGAAAGGGCTCACAGCCACCCTGGAAGGACCTTTGTGTGCAGGAGTGGGGTGATTCAAACAGAATTCCTTGCTGCTTGAAATGATGATTATTTTAATATGAAACCAGCCAAAGACTGGAGGTTGTCCCTGATCATGTCTCCCTACTCCAAATAATGTGAGGATTGAAGGGAACCTAGTTTTTGATGGTTTCCCCTTGCTCCTTACATACATTCTTGCTGGAAAAAAAGTTTCCTTTCTTGCTCCCATGTTGTTAGGGTGAGAGTTACTTTGTTTAATTTGAAACATTTATATTCAAGCTGCTTGTCTTGGTCACTTTATCATCAATGGAGAGAAAACAAAATTTATAAGACTTCAACTGTCTGACCAGTTTTGGACACTGATCTTAGTGTGGGGTATCTTGTACATTAAGGTATTTTGCATTGCATATGTCTCTAATTTAGATTAGATGAATCTCACCCTCAGTACTAATTTACTGAGCTTTTCCCAAAAAGGGAAATGGCCAAAGAGGCTTCCAGCAAATCAGAGAAGTTTTACTAGAAGGATATTAAGAGAATCAGGTTTAAGGCAACAGTCTATTTAAGGCAAAGATTAGAAGATGGTTAATAACTTAACTGTTCCTTCCATATGCAGTGTTAGGAAAGATTTCAAATTTCCAGAGCTAAATAGGCAGATTTATCTGCAGGTTTTGCTAGGCTGGACTGAGGCTGTAAATCGGCAGAATTTTGAATTCTTTGTGGAGTAGATGCATGTGAAGTGGTAGTAGAGCTTCATTTATTTATATAGCTCTGGTGTTTCAAGGGAAAGATTTGAGGTGTTTGCCTAGGAGGATTGCTGAATCTGTTTTTAATAGAGAGAAATCTTTATCCTGATGATCCTAGGGGTGCAGGTTTATAAGCTAGCAAAGCTCAGTGTTTCCCCAGGAATGGGGGTATTGTTTAGATAGACACACCATGCCTGGAACTTCTCCAGTAAGGATCTGAGCAAACCAGAGAGAAAAGCCTTGGGTTTTTTTTTTTTTTTTTTTTTAAGAGAGAGCAATAGAGAATGGTTTTAATTTCTCTGTAGAAACAGAAGGGAGCAAATATTTTTATGAGGTTCCTTACTTCTGTATTCAAAATCTATTAAAATTGCCATTGTGAGCCAGTGTGCACTTTTGTCAGTGACTTGCAGTGTGATGAGGTATTTGAGTAAAGGCTGGGTACCTACATAAGCATGTTTTCAGCTGTATTTACTGCATTGCTTTCCTCTGCTGTGGCCCTAATCTACCAAGCAATTTTGAACTCTGTTTGGGGTATCTTTTATTTGATTTTAGACTTTTTACATTTTTGTGTGTTTTTCCAAATACATAGCTTGATGCTAAGTTTTTCAAGTTTCATGTTTTATGAAGTGCAAAAGCTAATTTTTAATTTTATCACAACAAAGCTGCATTTTCAATATTTTGTAGAGGTACTGCATTACAAGCGTGTGATTTGTGGACTCAAATGCACTTGGAATAGTGGTTTTTCATCTAGGGTGCCTGATTTTCTGGGGTGTATAGAGTATCTAGAGATAATCCACTGAAGTTACTTTCAGTAAAAGAGAGTCATAGATGTTCTTCTGCATTCTGGCTTTTGTAAAAGATTCTGTGGACTCCTTGGTGGTTTTGTGCTTGCAAATAGGAAAAGGTTGTAAAACAAGGTCTTAATATTAGAAACTCATCATAGTTCTACAGAATTATTTGAGTGAGAGCAGACCTAGACAAGACATTAATTTCAGTAGAGGCGTATGAGAACATTGCCAGTTCTGATACAATAATATCTTTCTGCATTATTAAATAGCTCTCTTGGTGATACAACAAATTTGTAAAGTATTCCTGGTCTATAAAGCAAAATACAAAATAACCCTCAGACAAGGTGGAAGATCTGTGTAGATCTTTGCTTGCTGGAGCTTCTCAGTTTCTCCAGAGCAGATGCTGCTGTTGATGTTTGAGGCTCTGTAAAATATGGAATAGGTCTGGTTTTCACCTTCCTTTGCACAAGTAACACAGCAACTGAACTCCTTTCACTTCAAGGAAATGATTTTGGATTTAAAGAAGTCTATGGTGATAACTACCCTTGACCCATCCTTGAGTAATCTAGGACATTTTTAGTTGTAAATGAAAATTTATAGAGATCTGGTGCACTGGTGGTCTTGCACAGTAAAAATGAAGCCCAGGTATGGTTTTGCATGTGAGCTGCTCTTGGGCAAGGTCTGATGCCTCAAAAGATCAATTACAATCTGAGTTTCTTCAAGCAGCCATGTGAGTTTAGAAGGCACAGAGGTACCTGTGCCTCTGGCTCTGCCTCTGGGAGGGCTGGTGAAAATTAGGGGAGATTTTTTTCTTATTCTCTTAAATCTGAAATGGCAACGAATGACAAATTATTGTTTGGGCTTCTCTGCTAACAGGAGTTGAGCAATGTCAAAGCTTTTCCATTATACAAGTGAAAATATTTTTCTAATTGCAAAAATTATCAATGTCTTTAGATCAAAGGGAGTTTTTGGGTTTGGGGCAGAATGAATCCTCTTTATGAATAGCTGCCCAAGCTCCTTGTCTTGAGGTGTCACTGAGAGCTGTGTGGGACCTTGTGTAACTGTGCTGATGATGACACAGCTGGATTGGACTCCACATTGCTCTTGGAGCCTTGAGAACAGCTCAGAAGCAGCTACAAAGAGTAAAAGTGAAGAGTGAATACATTGTGGGATTGATGAATTGAGCATGTGCTGGTTAATATAGCCAGTTTTGAAGTGTAATGTGTTTTCAAATAAAATTAATTTAAAGAATCCCAGTCAATTAAATGACATTGCAGCTGATGAAAAGGGAAGTTCTTTTGCCAGGGCTAACAATGCTCATTTCCTTGGTTTGCAGAATAAATGGGGAAAGCCTTTTAATGCTGACTTTTGTTGTTGTTTATTTGTTTTCTGGCTCAGGACTAAGTATTTCATTGGTCAGTTACAAACTACTAGTCGATTTTAGATCATTTGAATTTATGTAACTTTTTTCCCCCTAGGGATTCTACAAATGAAACTACTGCACATTCAGATGCTGGCAGTGAGCTTGAAGAAGCAGAAGTCAAAGGAAAAAGAAAAAGGGGCCGTCCCGGCAGGCCTCCAGTATGTATAATTTATTTTAGTTTTGTTATGCATCTATTTAATTTATTGCTGTTTAGTTATGCATCTATTTATAATTGACTGTAGATTCTTTTTCATCTGATCATTTTGTGGTCACATAAATAGGCTTTTAATGAGTCCTATGTCAGACTTCATGAAGACTTGTAGTATGAAATATTTATCAAATTGATGTGCAAACAATGTTTGAAGCCTTTAAAAAAAGGACATAAAAATGATGTCATAATAACTATTAATTTTTCTTTTGCTAGCTGCTTTCCTGAACAATACAGTTTTGTTATTATTGTCAGTACAACGTTCTTCCAGATATGAGAATAGCCTCAATAAGTACAACCACTGTCTTCTTGAAAGTTGTGATGGACTTTAAGTGACAAATGGCATTTGAGCCATCCATTTATTACTGATAATCCCTTCATGTGAGTGGAAGAATTACAGCCTGATATTTCCTAGATTCCTGAGAAAATCTATTAACACCTTTAAAAGTCATGTGACTGACACACCCTGCATTCTATTTATAGACTGGAAGCTTCAACGAATCCCCTGGCATAGTGCAGAGGTGATATGGTTGTTTTTGTCTCTGCTGGCCTATCAGCAGGAACATACAGAAACAGTTCTCTATTACCTGGGGTATTAGGGAGACTTTCTCTTTTCTTTTCATCTCTTTTATAAAATAGACAATTCATTGGAAAATAAAGGGAAAGTTTTGTGTGTCATGTTTTCCTTCATCTTGGTTCTTGAAGATGATCAGTGTAGTTCCCTTGGCTGTATCACTTGAAGTACCCATTGTGGAGTAAGACTTGGTGGCAACTTGTGTGTTTGTTGTTAATGAGCTTGATTCACCTCTTAGGGTTGTTCTGTGAATAAACTCACAGCATGAATGTGCCATTTATCTATATAGCACTGGTAGATGGGGGTGATATTTTTTTTTAACCCTGAGGGCTTTGATCCTAAGGTTTATCTCAAACCATGGGGTTGGTGAGAATGTAAGAATGGACAGATCCATGGGTTACTCTCAGGCATGCTGGCCAAGCTGGAGCAAATTCCTCTTTCCTGTTGCTTTTCAATTTGCATCTCAGTCTCTGGACTTACTCAAGGTGCCAACATTTTAAATCCTGGTCTTTTCTGGGCACATTGTCTTCCTTTTTGAAAGCTTTCAAATACTTTCCTGTGTTCTTCATCAGACAAATGGATTTGCTCATGAGCATGAAGCCTCTTCAGAGCATGCCTTACAGAAGTGCTTAAAGAGAACAGCTTATCTGTTTACATAGCTTGTAAGCAAAGGATAAAATGAAAAATTATCTTATGAATATTTAATTAGCAAACCTATGGGGTTTTGTAACTCTAATAAAAAAAGCAGCCTGGTGCAACCTGATTGCTAACCCAGAATGTTGTCACAATATACAATTTCAAGTTATAGCAACACCAGGGAGAGCACATACTCACTGGAAGGGAAAGGTGAATGTTACAAAAAGCATTTCTCATTCCTCTGCTTCACTTTATTAGTAGCTCCTATGGGAACATTTGCTGAAGCACTCTGCTGGTCCTGCTATCAGGTTTCTAGGGGAGGAATTGCTCATTTTGCTTAGAACAACTCCAGGCTCATTAGGTGTGATTGCCAAGTGAGGAACATGCAGAGGGAGCAGCCATTGCTTCAGTCACAAAGTGATGGGCTGTGAGCTGACTGCTGCTGCTAAGGAGCAAGACCTCAGGGTTATCAGGGGGAATTCTGAAGCTTTATCTTAGTGCTTAAGAGGAGTCAAAAACCTCCAAATCCAGTCTTAAAACTCAGAGGAAGGAAATAGAGAATGAAACAAATCCAGTGTCCTTTATAAAACTGTAGTTTGTCAAAATTTGGAAGAATTTGCTCAGTTCTACTTTCTCTTTCCCTTTTGACCTCCACCCCAAAATCTCAGCAAAGTGTATATTAGGACTGGAAGAGTTTCAGAGAGGAAAACCCATATGGTTGTTTATGGAATGAGACTCAGCAGGTCTCATTGCAGCCTCCTAGTCAGAGTGGGGTCAGCTTTGGGATCAGACCACATTGCTCATGGCCTTTCCAGCTGGATTTTGAAAGCTACCAAGGCTGGAGACTGCACAGCTTCTCTTAGGTGCCTATTTCATTTTACTTAATGATAAATTTCTCCCTTGATTCTTCTAAAAAAAAAAGCCCCAAAAGCAAAAAGCCACTATAATGACTAGAAGACAGATGCAAAAACCTTGGAAAGGCTAATCTAGGCAATTGAATTTACAGTATTATTTGATGTTAAAAGCCAGGGACTTGATAATTGTATTGCTTTATCAAGCCATGTTGCCAGCCCAGCCACTTCCCTCAGGTGAATTGCCTGGTTCCTACAGATGGTGTAGCTCTGATATTTTCCCCATAACTCTTCACTACTGTGGTTTTGTTTCCTTACAGGTACCACCTACCTGTACTGTCAGATGTGAAACAGATTAAAAGGTTTAGTTAAGTTCAGAAATGTTTTTCTTAACTTAGATTACATTTAGCTTAGATGATTTTAATTTGTTTTAGATCTGAAGAATGGTAGCCCAAAGGCTCCTCTGATTTCTGTGCCTGGGATTTTTTCTAATTTAAATATTATGATCTAATCTCTTCCTGTAAATGCTGATTTGCTGATGTCCTTAGGCCATCACAGCTAGAGTGGCACATGTGCCATAAACATACTGACCCCTTGGAAAGGGATGCTGCATGATCCTATTACAGAGCTGCATAGAATATATTCCATTAAATAGATGTATGTATTTTAAACAGGTTTCTGCTGAGTGTCACAGAATGGACTTGACCTTTTATCAGAAAGATACACTACTACAAGGGGACTTTCCAGATTGTTTTCCAAAGAAAGACATTCTCTGCAGATTTGAGACCTTTGTAAGAAGATGGTGCTCATTTGAAAAACTGCCTTTTGTAGCAAATACCTCTTCAGTTCATAGAGAACTGTAATGCTTTGGGGGTACCTTCACTTTCTAAACCACTTGGAACTAGTTGATCTTTATGATTTCCTTTCAATCCAAGTCATTCCATTCTAAAACACTGCATTTCAAGTGGCCCCCTCACTTCTGTCCACTGTTCTAATGAGTACTTGACTGAGTAGGCTAGACAGTCAATTTGCAAATAGATGAAGTGCATTGGTCTTGCAGAATAGCTCTCAGAATCGAACCTGACTGTCCTGAGCTCCCTGGCCCTTGCTGTGAGTTGAGCAGGGGCTGCACCATGTCCTGCTCCAGTGCCTGGGGCTGCCTCTTGGCCACGTGCCCTTCTAAGTCTCACAGAGATGCCCATGGAGTGCCTGGCCAAGAGCTGAGCCTGTCCAGCCAGTGGGGTATTGTGGTCCATGTTTGTGATGCTGTATGTGAGGATACTGTCTGGGTATGTATTTAATGAATTCAGGGAATGGAATTTAATAAATTCTGTTTAAGGAGTGACTTCTCCTTGAAGTTCCTGAGCGATATTGGCCAAAGTGCCCTCTCTGTCTGCTGCATTATTGAAATGCATGGGTATGGATGTGCTCTCCTGTTCTGCACAGGGGATTTGAAAGCCCAAGGGCTTATGATGCAGTGTAGCATTCACATCAGTGAGCTCAGGCTCAGATCAGTTATTTATCCATCCTTTTTTGTCTCCTCTTTTGGATCAACATTCTGTTCAGCATTGTTGGCATGCTTTATTTTAAACTACCTGGCCTCACCTTCCCAGGAGCTCAGAATAGCTTGGCTTAAACCTCAGCTGCTGGAGGTCGAGGCAGTGAGAGAGATCCCTGGCTGTGTTTCAGATTCGAAGTAGGAGTAGACACATTTAATCTCTGATTCAGAGGACAGGGAGAAACATCAGTTTGTCTGTTCCAGATGTGGCAATTTGGGATTCTCTGCTGGTTTCTCTCTCATCCCATAGTCAGAGCCACAGTGTATCTTTCTCCACTTAAAGCAAGATGAAACAAGGCACTTCTGATGCTTTTGTGGCAAGCAAAGCCTGTACAATTTTGCTTTCAGGTCCTTTTGTAGTTTTTGGTATGGAGGAGACAGACCACAATGCCTTATCTTTGCATTCATATAGGGAATTTTTAACTTTGCAGCAGATTCCTGGCCTTATTTAATCTTGCAGTATAGATGTTAGATACAGCAGGGGATTGAGTTTTGCTTCTAGTTCCAAGTCATACGTGTCCTGATTAATAACAGGGAGGAATCCTCTTAGAAGAATTTCTTTTCATACAGTGGAGGTTTGTGGTTGGTGTGATTTACATCAGTGTCCTGTTTCAGCTTGCCTGCCTGATGATTTAGGTCTGTCCCTTACAACTGAAGGGAGTCTAGTTCAGTAGAAATGCAGTGCATCTATAGCATCTTTGTGAACACTTTTCTATCCTGTTACCTGTAGCATTAGATGTTTTCCTTTTAAGCTTTTGATGGGATGGTTCTTGTATTTTTTGCAATCTATTCTATTCTTCATTTTTCTGTGGAAATACTCTTTTTTTGGTAGTAAATGCCTCAGCTAGAAGAATTGAAATTATTCAAGCATTTACAGCATACTCTCTTGATTCTTTAAGATGACTTTGAGAGCTCTTGATAGATTTTTAAATAAGGGTGAAAAATTGCACCACCACTCCCAACACTGCCTCAGCTTTTTTTGTCCTAAACTGCAGGTGCTGCACCTGAAGCAGCTCTGGGTGCACTGGGTGTTAGGGGACCTGCACCTGTCTTTATTTGTGGGATGAAACTTTTCACAGGGAGCACCTTGTTTGTTTCTACAACCAAAACAATCCACAGGACTGTGGGAATCCAAGAACCTTCTCCCTAGATTACCATGAGGATGGTTTGAAATGTGTCATAGTGGTTTTTTAATCCGGATTAACTCATGAATACCTCAGGCATTACCATTCTTCCATTTAACACAAGCTTGTAACACAGGGCTTCTTGAGGGGCTGGTGCCTTGGAGAGACAAGTTCTTCAGTCTTACTCAAGTGGGGGTTAAAAACTTTCTCCCCCCTTCGCAGGGAAGTGGGGTATTCATTCCTCTAAATGACTCACAGTGTGAATGCACATACAGGTGATTGTTTTCAGGTGGTGTGTTGGGAGGAGTTACTGACTCTGGGACTTTCACTGCCTTTGTTTCTTCATGAAGTGCATCGCATCAGCTTGGGGAAAGTTAATGGAAAATGTCAAGCCACTTGTACCTTTTTTTTGGTAGCATGTGAATCAATTTTCACTGTATTACTTGATTTTACAAATGTGGGTCACTATTTTCTTGACAGTAATTTTAAAGACATGAAAGGAAAAGTATTGTGTAGCTAATTTGTTACAAAATCTTGAACTGCCAGCATTGTAGTTTAATTACAGTCAAGGTGAGTATTTTGTTTCCTGTTTGCATTCATTTAAGCCTTAAAGCAACAGGTGAGGCATGTGACAGTCAATATGGCCATTTATATAACCCTTAGCTTTTGTTGTCACAAATTTGAAAAGTCATCAGTAATTTCTGTTATCATTTGGCACCTCAGTCCATTTTGACAGCACACCAGCCCAGCTGTCCTGGGTTTTGGAGTGAAATCACAAATGCAACTACTGCAGCCTCTCAGCTGCAGGCAGCACTTTCTGTGGTGTATGATGAAAAAGCCTCAAGCATTCTTACTGTGTCATGCTGCTTTATCCCTCCCTTTGGCAGTCCTAATTCACCCACTTCAGGGGGGAGCTTTCTGGTTCAAAGCTGTAAAATGGTGCACAATAATCACAGTTTTTTTAACAATGCTGGTAGGACTCAGCAGTTCTGTTTTTCCTGTGTCTTGATGAATATTTGTTGAATTCGTGGGAGCAGACCTGCTGCAAATTCAGTCTGATCTTCTGAAACATCTCATTTTATAGCTGTCAGTGATAGTCTGACAGGTTTATTGGGGCTATACTCGTTCTTGAGCAGGGCTGTTTCTCTGTGGAAACTCTTCATGGCATTGGAGAAAAGGTTTCCTTGTTTTTTGCAGAAGGATCACCTTTTCCTGTCTCACCCTTTCCTGCATGTGTCTCTTTTCTGGGATGCACTGTTACCTGTGTCTGGCATCCTCAAAGCCAAACATAATTTTTAGATTTGTGGCTTTTGCAACTCCACTTCCAAGAGCACCCTGCCTTTGGAGATGTGCCACAGATGCTCTGTTTCATGAGTGAGTCTTCTCTATTTCTACAGATGTACCAGTCCTGCCTTTTCCTTCACTTGCTCTGGTGGTGGTGGAGGATGTCTCCATCCTGGGATACAATCATAGCATATCAGGTTGGAAGGAACCTCACAGATCATTTGGTTCAAACTTGTCTGGCAAAAACACAATCTAGAAAAGATGCCCTAGCAGCTGTCCAGCTGAATCTGAAGTGTCCAATGTTGAGGAACCTCCAGATTCCCTGTGGAGATTATTCCAGTGGCTGATTGGTCTCTTTGAAGTAGGATTTCCTACTGAGCTTTGTGCTCAGAGGCAGGAACCTGTAGGAAGCTCAAGCCTGTCTACATGGTCTGCAAAGTTTCTTGCTGTAAATTCAGAGACATTATGTGCAAATAATGTTTGACAACTGCACTGTAATATTGTGTGTTAATGACTAAGGGGCTGCCATGTGCTTTGTGCTTGCAAAACTTCAGAGCACAAGGCAGTTGCTGGAGGACCTATGTATGACTTTGTTTTATCTTCACACTCTGGAGTGAGATTGAACTTGGGCTTCCTGCCAGATGCCTGCTGTGTGGAGGTGCTGTGGGGTGAATGCCCTTTCACTAAAGCCTTTCCACCTGAAGACAATGTTAAACCTTGCCTAGCTCAAAGTTCACATTTTGGGTTTTCTTCAGTCTTGAGTGGAGCATCCTGTCTACTTGTTTTGTCTTTAGACACAGGATTCAATACAGATCCTGCATCTGGGTTTTGCTACCCCAGCTTGGATACACAATGGCTTTTGTTAGATGCAAGATTTTTCTCCACTCTGAGAGATGTTCTCATTGTCAGGAGAAAATCTACACCAGAGAGAAATTTTTTTCAAATAGACTCAGTGATATATCTGGTACTAATTCAGGGTCAAGATATTGAGGTATTTACTTGATCTGAAGAACCTGGCTTTACCCAGTAATTTGTCAGAAGCACATGTGTCAGTTATTTCTATAACTCTTCTGAGGGCTCGGTGGTGATCTCACCCTTCCAGTTCAGACTGGGAGCCTTGGTCAAAGCACCTTCCCTTTCCCAGGATACCTGACAAAGGGAATTTGAACTGGGCATTTAGATGCCTAGGGATTACACATTTGGAGCCTGTGTCTGTAGTACTCATGCTCAGGTACTCAAACAGGTGGCTTTTGTTATTGCTTTCATTAACAAGGTAGCTTTGGATGTGTCCATTTCACATCCATCTCTTACTTCTTTTCTCTTTATTCTTGCAGCATTTAATGCCTCTCTTTCAATTACATGTTGAGAAAAACTGTCTAGAGGGGGGCTTGCATTAGTTTCTGTGGAGGGCATCAGTTTGCATTCAAGCTTTTCATTTAGCAGTCCTTGTAGCTAGGTGAAGTGTTTATTGTCTCCCAGATGGAATAAGTGTATGGATTGTATCTCTCAAAAGAGTCAATTTACTTCTAATTCTTTCCCATTTTAATAAGTAGTGATCACATGTCTCTTTCAAGCTCAGTAGAACTTATACATTTCCTATGTTGATAATATTCTTACTTTTACAAGCAGCTTTGCGCATACTTAAAAATTCATTGAGGGAGATACTCTTGATCCTAAGTGCAAATGTTATCCAAAAAACTTCACAGAGATTGTACCATTATTTTAAGCTTTCCAGCTTGTACTTTTGTGCAAGTCCTTAATTGAATATTTGCAAGAGGCAGTTGCACTCTACCTTGCCCTTTGCTTCAGCCCTCTGGCCCCACCTCTTTTAAAGCAGTGATCCCTTTTAAAGCATGGGGAAAACTGGACTTGCAGGGCTCTCTTCTACCAGCTCTCTGCCAGAAATTAGATCTCTTGCCTCTGCAGTAAAGTTCTCAACGTGTCTGCACTGTAATATGCAACTGAAAATATTGACTTTGTGTTCTTTACTAAAAACATTAATAAAATCTCAGCTGACAATATACTTCAGTAAACAGTGCCACGAGGATATTGTCCAAAATTTAGTCTTTGAGTTGCTTGTGTGTTGTTTTCTTTAACATAATTCCTCACAGTAGCTTTATTGTTCTGTGCAAAACAGAAGATTTTGCTTTTGTTTGCCTCACGGTAGGGAGAAAGAATAGAATATGGAAGTAAGAATTCTGATGTTATTTTCCCTAGATTTTTTTTTCCTGTCTGTTTCACAAGTGACTTAAATTCAGAACAAACTGTTCAGTAGGTGAGTCTTGACAGGTGGTGTCTATACCAGCTGATTCAAACCTTGAAGAACAGAGAGAAAATTTACATTAAGTAATTTAGTCTCAAAGAGAAAATGTTTTAACTCATAACATTTTGAAGCAAGAGGCTGTTATGGTGATCTACTAAATCTGGCTGTACAAATTTGGTGATTTGAGTTGAAGAGCTGACTAGGTACACATTTTCTTATAAAAGTTGTATGAAAATGAAAATACAGAAAATGAATGTTAATGTGGCAAATGTATTTTTAATAACTTACTGTCTTAGAAAGATCATTAGTTAACATCACCAGTTGTTCTCAATGTCTCTGTAAGACTCATACAGGGGCTGACATCAACAGGTATTCCAGCATTGGGACTTCACCACTGTCTTGGAATGACCACTACTTACCTTGGCATGGAGTGGCTGTTAAATAGTCCCTCAATAACTACTGATAAATAAAATTATATGTACCTGACTGGATAAAGTCCTGGTTTATTTTCCTAGCTGACCCTGCTCTGAGCAGGAGGTCAGGCTGGAGACCTCTGGAGATCCCTTCCAGCTTGGCTCATCCCATGATCTTTGTTTGTATCAATGTGTGTGAGGGTGTAACCATGTAATATGTATGGATTATAAAGATAAGCTGGGTGTATAAAGAAACACTGAATGATTTCAGATGTAGCTATAATAAACTTTCCCTCTGCTGGCTTTCTTTGCCCAGTCTGCCACAAAGAAGCCCCGCAAGTCCCCGGCGGACAAGGGGCGTTCCGACGCCGGAGCTCGGGGAGCGAGTCGTGGGAGAGCCAACGGCCACCCGCAGCAGAATGGAGAGGGGGACCCTGTCACCTTGTTCGAGGTGGTTAAGCTGGGGAAGAGTGCTATGCAGGTAAAATATCTTCTTGTGTTCCTCCTCACAGTTCAGTGTATCCTGACTGGAGTCCAGTCCAAGCTATGCTTTTGTGAACAGTAGTATTTTCTCATGACTGCATTGGTCCAACAGACTGTGTAGGATAAAGTACAGGACTGAGAGCGTTCTGATTTAGGGTTGTCATGTATCCTGCTGAAGAACAAGAGACCTGGCAGGGTCATATGTTTCAAATTCTCCATTATTTTGTTCATTACTCCTAAGTTAAAAATATATGTTGATATTAAGCAGTTCCTCAAAGTATATCCGGTAGCAAGCTTTATATGGCCAAAAAGTGTATGAAAATAATGATAAATCCAAACTTTTTTTGTTTACTCTTTTTGTCAAGAATACCTGCTCACATAAGCAGTTTGGAGTGCTTTGCCCTGGAACTTGCATTCCTGCTGTCCCCAAAAGGACAGCAGGTGAGGGATAAGCTAGTTGCCTAGACTTCCACTGAGTCTGGGGAAAAACATTGACACATCCTGAAGGCAAATTTTTATTTATTGTGAAATTAGCTTGTCCTAGTTACCTCTAGAAATGTTTCTTACCCTCTTATGTTTTAATCAGTTCAGGGGCCTTTACAGGATGTGTGGGGGCAGGTGAGTTTCACCTCAAGACCCTGCACAAAGGATTGGTATTGAGTGTTGTGTGGTTTTTGTAAGCTGCTGTGCTGCAGCTCTTGGTTTTGAAATGCAAAGGAGAAACAATGGGCCCAAAACACTCTTCAGCCCATGCAGTCCAAAGCCAGCAGTCACTCCTGCTCTGATGGATTATTTAACCAAACCTCCTTAACTTTGCATTTCAACAACGCAGGACTTAGGCAGTATCAGTTAGTTTGTTTTGATGCTGACTAACAAGAGAAAAGTACAAATTAGGAAAATTAGCTCCTAAGTCCCATTCTCAATATTACTTTCAGTGTAGCTAAAACCTAGGCCTCTTTCAAGTCTCACAGAAATCACATATATTGCAAATGAGTGAAAGTTGTTGAAAATTTTCTGTCTCAAACGTGTGGAAAATATGAGGTTTAGTTTTAAAAGAAGTAATACTCAGGAAGGAAATGAGAATTTTCTTTTTGTAGTAGTTTCTGTGTTTACACTTATTCAGGATTGACCCTTCTTATCTAGTAGGTGAAGACAGAACAAATTTACTTGTAACAAAGCTATGGATTCCTTATGCCTTTTTTCCTACAACAGGGCTTCCAACTTTGTTTGGTTTTCAGCACTTTTTCAAATTTTGTTTTTGGCAGGAATTGAGGAAACATCTGGAGTCTATTTTCTGGTTTTACTGTGGTACAGAACATACAATATACTTTATGTAGTGTAGTTGACTTAGAGTTATTGATATTTGCAGAAGCCAAACAGAAAGGAATGAGCAATTGCTTTGATATTTGATGACTCTGTGTGTGTGTGGAATTGACTTTGCTACATTTTATCTATTTCAAAAGAGATGCTGACACAAGTCTCTTGCAGATTAAATGCAAAAAAAAAAGTTGCATGTTTGTATTAAGAAACCTTTGGAGTTTAGATACAAAGAAATTGTCTTGAGAAGTGGAGAATTTGTATATGCATGTGGATATTGCATGTGTTGCATGTATATGCATTTGTACATGGATGTGCACATGCCCAACCTGCAGGTAGGAGAAAAAGTACACAGCACCATCCATGCAGGGGAGGGATTATATGCAAATAGTAAAGGAGTAGGCAAGAGTGTTTGAAGGCCTTGGGTGCCAACAGGCATAAACTACTTGAGCCCTAATTTCAGGAGAATGTATTGCTTGGGCACTTTTGAAAAATTTACTGTTGGTAAAAATAGACTAAAAATTAAAGAAACCCTATAGTAGGAGAGAGAATGCAGTTAAAATGTGATTTAATATTTTTTACCTTGACTTCTGGACAATCATCTCATGTGAAACCCAGGTTCTATAAACCAAACTTATAAGTGTCTTTATACTTATATTTTTCTATAATAGCCTAGAGGTTTTGATGTAACAATTAGGAATGCTTGGCATTTTTGTTTTTCCATAGTTTTGATGCAGGTTTTTTTGTTCAATGTTAGCAATCTTGTCAATATTATAGTTTTCAAACAAGTGCCATATAGCTGTATTTGGCCAAACATATGATTTCTCAATATTTAGTTATTTCCCTGTAATATGAACATACTTTTTTCCTTTTGCTTCTAAGTTTGCTTCTAGCATTGAAAACCCAGGAAAATTTAATTAATATATCCTGAGTTTGCATGGAAATCATGTGCTTTCGTTTCTGATCTATCTGCTCCTGCTGTTTGTTTTTAGAATTTTTTTTTAGTTGTTAGATTTTTCTGGCTTTGTGATGCCAATTCATAAAAGTCTGTTGCTGAATTCAATTTTCACTTCTAAGCATCTCTATTTTGGTTCTCACAGCAGGATTCATTTATTACTTCTCTTTAGGCTCATTGCTGCTTGCTTCTTCCAGGGAAATAAAATCAGTTTAATTTTTCTATTTCAAGTGTACATAACTCCAGGATTGCTCTTTGCATAAAATCTTTGCCTCTGTCATGGGGTGCAGCTTGTGTCTTGCTTGAACTCTGTAAATCTATTTGATGCCCACATTAAGTTGGTATCAGACAGTTGTCAGTGGTTTTCATTTGCTCTGTAACCTTTTGTACAGTTAGGGCTTCAGAAATTGTTCTGTCAGCAGCTCTCTGTGTATGAAGTGTGACATGACCTTCTGCTCATGCTTTCTGCAGGTACACTTTCAGGTGTTACTCCATTAGGACTGTTGTAGAACTTCTTTAGTGGTTCTTGTTTTCCTAGTTAAACATGATACTCTTCTGCTTTTTGTCATTTATCTCTTCCATAGATTCAGTTTTTAGTTCTATCATTTTATGGTGACAGCTGTATCCTCTACATTTCCCTGCTCTGAACTTCCATAGGCAGCAGGGTCTCTATCAGCATTTCTCATGTTCTCAGCTGCCCACTGGTTGGAATGAAGGCCTGGGAGAGCCTCTGCTCACTGCTACTGACTGGTAGCTAAAATCTTCAGACATCTCTGCATTGATCTCTGACCCTGCTGTTAAGATGACAGGGAAATAAAGAACCTGTATGAGATCAGATTTTGTTTAGGACTCAGACTGCCAATCTCTCATGAGGTATGAGCAGTTATCTGTAATGAAGTTTGTGCTACTGGTGGTCAAACCAAGCATAGAAGTGTTCTGCTTTCTCATCTGCAAAGGAGTTTTGTTCCCCTAAAACATCAGAGAGAATGGATCATCAGTAATTGTAGGAAGAGTTCAGTACAAAACATGAACAGATCTGTGCCTTGATGATTCTGCAATATTCCATGCATTACCAGTGACCCTTTATTGTTGTTAGCAGTTCACTACAGAGCACAGGTTGATTTTGAGGGGAAAAAAACTCTTAAAAATTGCTGCCTCTGCTTATGCTCAGGTAATAAAAGGTAATCTTGGTGTTGATTAGACATAGTTCAGAATAAATATGGCTCCATTATATGCCAGCAAGTATTTTAAGAAAAGTATCCAGTTATCTGGTGTGTTGAAATGGAATTTTTCATGGTGCCACCAGTTCTTCCTTGTCATTCCAGAAATCAGGGATGCATGGGGCTCCTCACTGTTCTCACCTGCACATCTTGGCACATGGGGGTTTGTGTCCTTTGGGGCTCCCTCGCTGCCCAAGCAAAGCTGTATTTGTAGCACTGCTTACCCTGCCTTGAGAAGTCCATCTCTGGCAGTAGGACAGATTTATTCCTGATTGGAGTGACTGTAGAACCATATTTACCTTATGCAGGAGGAATTACATGTGTTTTTACATGAGTCCTTGAGATTAAAAACATCAGAGCAGTTGTAGCTGGATTGCAGCAAAAATCCAACAGCCTGTCTCTGACAGTGGCAGCTAAGAAAGGGAATGAGGTGGTAAAAATGAGTTTTGGGTATTCTCCCTACCTCTGACCATTGGCAGTTCAGGGCCCCTGTGGTGTCTGTTCTCAGTGGCCTCAATGGCTCTCCCTTCTCAGAGTTTCTTTTCTCCCTCTAGAAGTGTTTTTTTTGCCAGATCACGTCTCTGTGTCTCCCTCAGCTATTTCTGAAAGTGAAGGTCTTTGAAGATTAAAAATATCCAGACATATATGAAGTATTACCCATGCTTTTTGTGTTAAATGCATGTTTTAGTTTAATTATAATCGATTGTATTTTAACTGCTGGATTCTCCAGTTGAAGGATGGATAATAGCTCAGGGTTTCCCTAAATTGTCTCAGAAACTCCTTAGGAGTTTGAGTGTGCAGTCTCTAAAGTTTACTGGGCAAAATTACTGCATCTGTTATTAACATTTAAACTAGCATCTTCATTTTGCTCAATAGATTTTTTCTGTAGCCTAATCTTGCTGTGCTTTTGATTGTATGGTACTGAATTAAAAGAAAAAAATCAAAACTAGGTACATGTTTCTATAGTTGTTACACTGGGAACAATTTAGCCACCAAATGAAGCATTAATTAATTAGGAGAGTATCCCTTAATACCAAATTAAATTTTCTGCAGTCATCACATAAGGCTTCTTTTCCTTTGTGATTTAATAAGATGTGAGATGATTTTGCTGTTAAGTGTCAGTAGTGCAGTGTGTGGAAGCATTTGTACCTGGAAATACTCATTATATTTGAAGGCAGGGAATTCTTTTGCTGTGTAGAATGTTGATGTTTTTTGAAGTGTCTGGGGTGATCTGTGAGCCCTTTACAAACCATGCTAGCAAAGGAATGAGAATCAGGTGTTTTAATAAATTGATGGATCTCTTACTGGAATAAATCCATTTTGTTTTCGCACCCCTCTAAGTATATTTTCATTCTGGTGCTCAGTGTTTATGAGCAGTTTTGATGCTTTGTGGCATCATTCATGCCCATGATTGGCTCAGCCTAAACAGACACAGCCCCTTGGAAATGGTGTAACATGTCAACTGTGAGAGTTGAGCACTTGCAGGAGTTCTGTACACCTTAGAAA